GCCGTATGCTAAACTAACTAGCAGACACTGTGCAGAAAATTGACATTCTGCTCTCTGATTGGCCCGGCTAAAAATCTGCCAGCGGAATCCTTCTCTATGGGCAAAGTCCCAGACGGAGCAGTGAAGGGAAACTAGAATTGAGCGGAACTCCGTAGGAAGGCAAGGGCCAGGCTAAGCCAAGAGCAATCCCCAGGACTATTTACTATAGTATAAAAAAAGAGAGAAAGAGACATTTTCCAGAACATTTTAAACATAAAGCTGAAAAATGGTTTGGCTGACAATAATCTTCAACAAATTCTGATTGCAAATTAAAACTCCAAAATGGCCACCTAAGCTAAAAAAAAATACTACTACTATGAATCAAATATTTTAGAAATACTAATCTGACAGTTAGTGGTTGTATATGAGAGTGATGACCAACACATTATGGATTCAAATGTAAAAAATCAAAAATGGCCACCAAAGCAAATTTGAATAGCTATTTTTAACCATACTGAGTTGAAATTTGGTGTGGTGGGAGCTGCGCTCAACAACATATACCTAATATACCTAATTTCCCTCTGGGATCAATAAAGTATTTTTGAATTTGAATTTGAATATAGTACAGTCAAATCCTAAAATTAAAATGATGGCCACATAGAAGTCGCCGTCAAAGTTTCTCAAGCAACTTTTCTAGTTTCTCCATGTCATTGTTATGTTTGGATTCTAGATGTTTTCCAATTTTCATTAATTGGTTCTGAAACCCATAATTATTATATTATTAATTCTGTAGTTTTTTTTTTGTTTTCTTCACACACTTCACACTGATAGGTTCCCTCAGGGGTTCTTAACCTTTTTAATCTTGGGGCCCAACTTGTTGAATATAAAGTGACCCAGTCAAACAACTTACTAATCAAAGTGATAATTAATCTAAATGTTGGTTTAATCTGTATTGTATTTGCATTATAATTAATGAGTAATACACTCATTTTTGTAGATACTTAGGATTGATAAAAACACAAAATGGTTATAACAGTAACTTCTGCTAGTGGCAGGCTATGGGTCTTTTTCTTACATGTTTTAAAAAGAAGTTGTTAAACATCTTAGTGGTGCACTATCATTACTAGTGTATTGCAATTCACTCAACTGAAAACCAACGACATCCTGTGGCCCTCACGGCCTTTATTTTGAGGCCCTGAAGGGAGCAATCATGGCCAATCGTGGGTCGTAGTACAAGGGTTAAGAATCTCTGCCTAACAGAGCTGCTTGACAGATATTTACTCCTTTTTTTTTACTTTAACTGCCCATCTTTGAAATGCCACTTGTTAATCATTTTGGGGCGGCATCTGTGGTGGCCAATCAAGTGCCAGGGGAGGCAATTGTCACCTAGAACCACCCCTCTGGCGCTGCCCCTGTATAGTTGGAGTTTGTGCAGGACAGAAAGGTAAATGTTTGGTATTGCATAGTTATAAGAGGTGTAACTACATTCTCATGTCTCTACAGGTCAGAGCCACAGTCCTCCCACGCCACCCACCACTCCTAAAACCGAGTCTCAGTCTGGGAAGTCAGGGGAAGGTAAGAGGGAGGGTGTTGGGAATGGGGCGCCCCGTGGAACACTGGGAGCAGAAGGAGGCTCAGGTGCTGCTGGATCTGGAAAACCTCATATTGACTTTGGTAACATGGACATCGGCGAGATGAGCCATGAGGTGATGGTCAACATGGAGCCTTTTGATGTCAACGAGTTTGACCAGTACCTCCCTGCGAATGGGCACCCAGGAGTCGGGCAGATAGGAGGGGCAGGAGGCGCTGCGACTGCCTCGCCGTATGCCTTTGGCATCTCGTCAGCTCTAGCGGCAGCCGGTGGACACTCAGCGGCCTGGCTCGCCAAGCAGCAGCAGCAGCCAAATCACGGTTCCCCCATGGGCTCAGACCCTTCCAAGGCGCAGATCAAGAGCGAGACCGGGGGTGCAGGGGGTCACTTTGCAGAAGCAGCCTCAGCGGGTACTCATGTCACCTACACCCCCCTCAGCTTGCCTCACTACAGCTCTGCCTTCCCCTCATTGGCCTCGAGGGCCCAGTTTGCAGAATACGCTGAGCACCACTCCTCAGGGTCGTACTACGGCCACTCAGGCCAGGCCTCGGGGTTGTATTCAGCCTTCTCTTACACGGGGCCCTCCCAGAGGCCCCTCTACACCGCCATCACTGACCCCAATGTGTCGCAGTCGCACAGTCCCACTCACTGGGAGCAGCCCGTCTACACCACTCTGTCGCGGCCATGACAGACACCGAGACTGGAGGGCACCGGTGCAGGTTCGGCCCCAGAGTCAGACCAGAGGAGGAGCTGCAGTCACGGCAGCGCTGTTGGAGGAAACTGCCACCAGGGTGGTTTGGTCTGGGGCGATTGGGCAGGCACCGGAGGCGTCAGCTGGGGAGACAGGAGGGGCACAACCTTCTTCTGAGCTCGCCCAGATTTGGAAATGCTGTCACGGCCCGAGGTTGAGCGTCGAGCGAGGCGCTTTATGGGCTGCTTGATTTATTGGTGATGCAAAGACGCAACCAACACCACAGCAACACAGCTTTCTGACACTAAACAACCGCCTTCAGGGCGGTGAGGGGGTCACGATCCCTGCAGTCTGAAGGCTTAAAAATCTTCCACAGGCCAACAGAGAGGTCAGCAGCAACACATTGAGATTTAAGCCACAAAACGCCAAACTATTAGCTGGCTTTAGTCAGAAATGACTTTATTAAACATATTTTGGGATTCCAATAAATCCTCACATCAGTGTTTAATCATGTCACAAATCGTTAAGCTGTGTTTAATTAAAATCTCTTTAAACAGACAAAAATCAGGTTTTACACAAAAACTACTTCTATGACTCAGTGGTACTGAGATAAGCCATGCAGTGTGCTTGAAGTTATAAATGTACTTACTGTAAATACTTATATATTATAAGATATTTGCAAAATAACCAAAATTCTGAGACCAAAACCTTTTATTTTWTTTTTTTCAGAAAAGAAACTGATTTTAAGAGATGTTTCTCCCAACGTGACACTTAGAACTACCTGATGTTTTGTAGCCAATTAGATCATTTAATGTCATTGTGACAAATTGATAATTTAANGGTGTCTTGTCTTTCCATGCCTTTTTACACCTCCCTTTCTTCATGTGTTCAATACTTTTTCCCTGTGCCATTCCACATTATTACAAATAACTTCATTTAGGAGCCTCTCTGCCCAGGAGCCCCTGGGCAGAGAGGGGCCCTCTGCTGGCCAGTCCTGATAAATCTGTGGTTTTTAGTTGCTTTGATGGTAAAACCCAGTCCTGTTCTGTCAGTGCAGCTCAGACAGGCTCACAGGAATTTGGACTTTACTGAACTCATGTTTTCAGCTCTCTAACATGTTTTACACAATCACATTTTTTAAATTTTTTATTTGTTTTTATTTTAAATTTTTATTTAATTAAAATTTTTTAAATTCTTTTATTACTCAAATAGGAAAACGTAATGAAACAGTTACATAATATGATCAGGAAATTTTCTTTTTTTTAGTTACTGGAATTAAATTCTGTTTTTTGTCATTATCTATAATGAAAGCTTTTACTGCTGTTTGCTTTTATTGCTTAAGTGTAACCCACAATGTCTCTAAAGAACAGTATTCAGTGTTAATATAAAAACACATTTAATTGTAAAATATTAAACTAATATGATGCCAAGATGAAGCTGCCACAGATGAAGCTTTTTAACACAAGCTGATATAATGTATAAAATGTGCCTTTTTCTCAATAACACTCACTAACAAATAATGCAAAGTCTTTATGTTTTTGTCTTTTGTTTAAGTAAGTTTGTTAATTAGTAACTTTTCTTCATTATTCTAAACGTAACTCTTCATTAGTTTATAAAATATATAACTGTTCATTTCCATTGGTTTGTGTACTGACATGAATTTGAATGGTATGTTTTACTTCTTAAAGTTTAAATTCTGTTCTATTTAAGCCTTTTCCTCCAGCAGAATATACAGCAGTTACATGAATATTATCAATATTTTTGTGTTTTACATTATTTTGCACGGTGGTCTCTCCTTGTTATGAGGAAATCCGTGACTCATTTTGCCTGTTTTAGTTTCATTGTCTAAACATGACAGAAGCAAAAAGCCTTAACATGTGATAATGACTGAGCTTGATCTTTTATTCATTAAATAAAGCTGTTTTTTCTGCTTTAATTCCACCTCTTCAGAAGTTCTGATTAACAGAAAAAGTGACATAAAATTTTTGCTATGGAGGAAAATAAGTAAATTTTAAAAAATAATAAAAAATACAAACACACACAAAAAAGCACCAATTCTCTGATTCATGTTCCAATATAATCTGCTTATCTGACTGAAGTTAATTTCTTCTAATCCAGTCTCCTATCCAAATTCATATTTCAGTTTTTATGTTCATACTTAGTATATGTGACTGAGTTATTTCTGTCTATGAGTTACTCCTAATTCTTCCTCTTTAATTGGCCATGTGATACTTTGAAGAGACAAAGAGGGCCATTGATGGGGACATCACGCAGGGAGAGGTGGGGAATGGGGGCAGTGTAGGMGCGTCACCCATGACTATTCTGCCTGCAGCTTCACTGGGACACAAAAACACCCTTAATCCCTGTGCATCAAAACCTCATGCTCATCCCATCCTATGAAATGAAGCAAATTTGCCTCTAAGCATTAAGCCAATTATTTATATAGAAACACATATGTTTTTATTAAAGACAGAATAACTCAAAGCTTGAAACTGAAAATCAACTCATTCAAACTGATCATMTAAAAAACTTTAAAAACTATAATAGAATGAACTGACAATAAAGATGGTCCTGTCCTTTTATTAGCATCACAGCTTGTTTTTAACCAATCTACCTATATTTAAAGAGTGTAGGTAGTCACATGGCTGTCAGCAATCAGTGTGTGTACCACAGTAAAYACTGACCACGGGAAGCTAACCACAGAGTTATCTTTCTTCCGTGATCATCGTGTTAAAAATAAAGGCTATAAGATCATCTGTGAGCAGCTTGATGCTCCTACAGCTGCAGATTATTCAGAAGCTTCAGGTCCACAGGATTGGAGACAACCTGGATGTGCCTATGAGAGGAAAATAATCACAAAAGAAAGAAAGGGATAATACAACCAAAGAGGTTAATGAAGGTATGTCAGTGTCACATCACGCCATCGATTAGTTTCAGTCAGAGGGGTTTTACTGAAAGATGACGGACAAAAATACAGCAGGTAAAATAAGTACTGAACACGTCACCATTTTTCTCAGTAAATATATTACTAGAGGTGCTAATGCCATGAAATTTTCACCAGATGTTGGTAACAAACCGAAGGGATCCATACATACAAAGAAATCAAACCATAAATGTCCAGAAATGAAGTTATTTGTAATAATGTGGAATGGCACAGGGAAAAAGTATTGAACAAGAAAGGGAGGTGTAAAAAGGCATGGAAAGACAAGACACCAGCTGGACTATCTCAGTAATTAGAAAGCAAGCC